TACAACCTTAGAGATAGAGGTTGATTTGTCTAAAGATGACGAATTTAAAGAGACAGTGCCCTTCATTACAGAAAGTCGCAGCACTTTCTTCATTAGTCTTGAATGGTGACAGGATAAGAATATTTTAAGTTTTCTAAAATGCAGGTTTAAAACTACGAGAATGGTTGAGAGTAAATCTAGAAAGGTTACAATTAGGCTCAAGACTAAGGTCTAATTTAGGAAAGTAAATGAGCAGTTAAAGGTATGGATAGTGGATACTGTTAATGAAATGCAAATGAAGGGCTACAGCTGACAAGGAATTGCATCTATGGAGCTACAACTAAAAATAAAAGTAATTGAAGCTATAGAGTTAAGGAAATGAAAAGACATATGTGAGACAATGGGTGTTGGTGTTTAACCCCTTCAACTCCGTTTGAACTGATATCATAGGATTCTCTTGGTGGCTGTGACACGCGTGTCTTTTTCATGTAGTGCTTGTGTAGTGATAAGGGATGCTAAGTCTTACACTTCAAGTTCCATCAATTGTTAGGCAGTTAAGCACTGTAAGGAATCCATGACCTCACAAGCAGTGATTAGTCTTGACAATGGATTTTTACACTGCCATATGTCTGCCAACCGTTCTCATAACTTGGTTGATCATCCCAGGCCTACTTTAGGCTGTACTCCTTTCTTTTGGCTGATGTTCATCCTTCAACCAATCTTTTGCAGCATGATAAAAATTTCTTTGTTGCATTTATCTGTAGTTTCTAGATGATACTGTGTATCCCCAATTTCGGTCAAAGACCACTAATTCCAAATCCACTTGCTAAAACTGTCTCCCATTCTATTTTCAGTTATAATCTCCAACATGTGTCTTGAGCTGCATTGTTATGCTTATCTAGAGTCAATCCTGTTTCCAAAGTTTTTCGATTGTCACAAAGTTATATTTCTTAAATAAGAATTTGTTTAGACAAGGAAAATAAATAAATAAATAAGAATCTTCTCCCCAATCATCCATCTCACATCAATAGCATTACTATACCTTCCTTATTCATTGCGGTTATTTATTTATTTTTCATGGGAAGAATGTTAGGGGTTAGTTGTTAGAGGGGAAAGGGAGGGTGCAAGGCTCGAACACGAGCTCTCCGACACGGGGAGCAACCCAACCACTCGGCCAACACGGCACTTGCGTGCGGGTTGGTTATTTGTCAGTAACTGATAGACATTAATTGTGCTGGCTGAACTGAGGCACTATTCTTGTAATGTTTGTAATTTTTATATATTTATATATATATGTGTAGTAATAAGTTAAAAAAAAAAAAAAAGTCAAAGGAAAAAAAGATTTTTATATGTGAGGGACCCAACACTATCTTTTCTTTTAATGGCCATAAGTTCATTTAGGCCACAAAGCTCTCTTCCTCTTGGCAGTTCTCTCCTTCTCCCCTTAATTTCTTTTTTTCTTTTCTTTTGCCATGATTTTCAAGGCTTGATTCCTTATTTGTTTTTGTGAATTTGATGGTACTCCTTTGGGCAATGTTGGAGAGCTTGTTGAGACCTACATTTTGATCGGAGCAAACCCTTGTTTGGCCAACCAATGGATTTTCGAAAATTGAGCATAATTTGGGGCTTTTACATTCTTTGAGGTAGGGGTGTTTCTAATTCACAATTTCTTTGATTCTTTGTGAATTTTCCTTTCTAAAGTTGGTTATAAGCATGCTAAATTTTAGTTATTTTGAATATGGTGATTGTATTTAGTTGTGTTCATGATGATAAGTGATGTTGTGTGTTAATTGTGCCTATGAACCTAATTAATTTGTTGTGATGAAAAGCATGCTCAATAATAACAAGTTGTATGTAAAATGTTTGCCAATTGCTATGTAAATTTGAGATTATTAGTTGTAGAAATAATTGTTTAGAATTTTTTTTTTTTCAAAATGTGAATATGACGTTGATGGAATGTGTAGAATTTAATTTTTGGATTTACGAATTGAAAGTATGTAAAATGTCATAATTTAGAAATATAAGAATGCGATATTGTGTGAAAATTCATATTTTAAACATGCTTAAATGATGTGGATGATGTGTACGGAATTTCTATATCGTCGTGGCATTGAATAAATTGCATAATTCATGCATTGCTATTGGGAAAGTAAAGGGAAAAGTTTGTTTTAAAAACAAATGAATTTGATTTTGGGAAAAGTTTTTTTTTCAGAAGTGTTTGTGAAAACCGGATGCGTAGGAGGCGCCTAGTGGTCCGTGGTGTTAGTGTGGTCTAGAAGGGAGTATGGTTGAGCTAACTAGACTGGATGCGATGCCTTGGAGGTGCCTTGCGGTCGTGGATAGTTAGTCAACCCTCCATTTGTGACGCCTTGGAGGTGCCTTGGGTCGGATTACACTAACGGTTTGAAAGTTAAAACGGTATTGTTTCGGAAATGGGGAACGACATTGCATGGCATGGCATGGCATTGCATTGGCATACATTGCACGCTTGGTGATTGGACGACTTGTGTATGTATCTGTTGATATTATCGTTGTTTTGCTTGTTTTTCCCGAGATATGATCCCGTTCTCTCGTATCCTATTAATTGTATGGATTCACGGGGTCGTTAGAGGTGTATCTTAGACGCTTCCTACTGAGCTTTATGCTCACTCCATTATTATTAACATTTTTCAGGATACGGAAGGAAATGGCGGATGACGTTCCTCCATAGGGTTGAATGGGTTAGTGGACTGTTTTATTATCTTTTATATTTGTGATTTTATTTGTTTTGTATAAGTTTTGGGATGACACGTACATTATGTATCGGCCTTAGAACTTACCATAGTGCCCTTAGACGACCTCGGGTTCGGCCCCAGAACCCGGTTAGCGATTCGAGCCCTCGGGTTCAGGTCGTTACAGTTCTTTTAAAGAAAAAAAAGGGGAATAGTCAATCACTGAAAGTGTAACCATTCACATCTTACTAGTTCGATGTACTACTCCCAAATGAATACGTAATTTTGTTTATTGACCAAGTCATAACAACTGCCAACTGTACACCTCGATTGCTTTTCTACCGTGATCTCAACCGCATCTATGACATCTACCTATATCACACCATATAACGTGCTAGTTTAGCCTCTAAAACTACCATGAAATCCAACCCGACTTTGACACCACTACCACAATTTCTAAAAGAAAATTCCTAGATTTACCTATATAAGAAAGCAGACCAGCTTCCAACCCAATTAGCAACCAACTAGAGCATAAAATGGAATACTAAACATTGCCACGAGGCACTAAAGAAAATAGTTACAATATAATTTTAAGAAATTAGCTCGCATTAAGGCTCCATTTGTTTTAATATATATATATATATATATATATATATATATATATAAAACTTTTTCGGTGTTTGGCGTAGGTCTAGGTCGAGGTTAAGGACGAATCCATCGGGCGGGGCGTGTGTAAAATATCTAGCCGAAAAATGATACGTAAGTTATTTTTGTTAGGTTTTAAAAACATTTTCTTTGTAAATATTATGCGACAACCAAACACCAGAAGATAAAAAAAAAAAAAAATTATCTCTGAAAAATATTTTTCATCCAAACAAACGGAGCCTGAAACCCCAAAACTAGTATAGTGGAACATGAAAAAATGGCTTATGAGGAGCTCATTCCTACATTATATTGAGATGTATCTGTCTGCTTGACCTAAGGCTTCCTGTGTCTTAACCCTCTAATATTCTTTTAGGAAGAAAGTAGGGGGAAAATAAGTAGAGATAGGCCAGAAGTCTTTGTTTGAAGAGAGAACTTAACCATTGGGAGGACAGCCTCCTCCACTTCAATTGGTAAAAAAAATTAAAATTACAGAATTACCTCTACCGCGTAATATTCTCTTAATAAATGCATGGGTTCCTTTTGATCTTGGACACAAGGCTTGAACCAAGCTTCCAATATAAAAGGGATATAGAGTCAATGTCCAGCCTGAAAGTGCTAAAAATCACTAAAGATATGACCTTCACCTCTCTGAATGTTAATAAGATCATTGACATTAAGAAAATTGTGACAAGGGAAGAAAATATCAAATATAGAAAAGAAGGATCAAGGTGGCTTTCATTGGGTTTCAAGGCATGTTAGAATGCCACTTTGAAAGATGGAAGAAAATAAGCATAAAAGAAAAATAAAAATAAATTAAATTAAAAAATTAAAAAGAAGAAGAAGAAGGAAAGTGGATTTCATTGGGTTTTTGCCAAGGTGTGTTAGAATGTCACTTATACAGAAGAAAATAATCGATATAAGAAAAGAAGGAAAGTGGATTCTTTGGGTTTCAAGACGTGTTAGAATACCACTTTCCTTGAGACTTAATTTATCCCAGTGTCTCAATAGAGCTATGTGTAAATGAGTTTCCAGTGGCCTGGTACTTATGCTGTCCAACTGTGTCTTGAACCTATTTTCTTACAATTAAGTTATTGCTTTTATGCTTAGATTCAATCAGTACTATACTATTTTCAAATAGAGAATTCATCTGTAGACATGATATGCTTTTTTTTTTTTGTGAGGAATCAGCAGGTTTTTCCACATGGAAATTTGCCATCCTGAAATGGCCATCACATGTTGAAAGACATAATTCTGTGATTGACAAGTTTTCGAAATATTAATCTTTTAAAAAGTATAGTTTACATGAGGACAAAAATGTTTGGGAATATTTATGAAAAAAAAATATATATTTGACTTGGAATAATATGGTCTGCCAAAGGAATAGTTGCATCCTTTTTATATGCAAAAATCACTTGAATTCAATTAATCTCCAACAACTTTTGATTTTTAGTTTTATTTTTGTCTAAATAGTTTGTTTTTCAATTAAAGTAGTTATTGAAAAGAACCCAACAGCCAATTATGCCACCAAAAGGCATGCAGAACAGTTTTCTGATGACAAAAGTTCAAGTACTTCGAAATTTTTGAAATTTTCTACAATGTAATGAAATTCTCTACCAAACTAAGCTCTTATGATATGCATACACGTTACAGAACTTACAAGAAATCCTACCATTTGTGTTTTGCTCTTCTGTTTTTCACGCACGGTAATCTAAATACTACTTTGTCCACAAAACTGAAATATGCATCACTCCAAGGTTTTCTTGTTGCTATGATCAAGTAAGGAACAAGAAGTCCAACAGCAAAACCCAAGCCAACACTCAAATAAAACCACTTGTCAATGAAATTGTCACCATTGTCATTCTCAATAGTCTTTGGTTGATCTGAATCTTCACCTTTGCACTTAACAACAAGGGGAGGTCCACAAAGACCAGGATTTCCAGCATAAGCAGACTCACTAAAGGTCGTCATCTGCCCTGTATAAGGGATCCTACCTGAGTAGTTATTATCCGATAGATTCAGATAACCCAAAAATGTTAATGATGGCATGCTTGAAGGAATTGCACCCGAGAGCTTATTACTTGATAGATCAAGAGATGATAGTTGACGCAAACTTGAAATGTTTTCAGGAATTTGGCCACTGATTTGGTTACTTGACAAGTTCAAGGCCACAAGGCCTGACAATTTTGTTATATCCACTGGAAAGTCCCCAGTTAAATTGTTTCCAGACAGGTCGATGGTAGTCACTAGAGACAGAGTCTTGGTGTATTTTTGAGGTCCACCGTTTATACACACAACCAAACTTTCTTCATAGTACCGGCCCATGTACATCCCATATAACAGATATTGATTTACTTTATGCTCTTGTGCCACAGCTTTCAGGTCACCCAAGCTGGCTGGAATGCTACCAGTTAAATTGTTTTTTGCAAGGTCAAGGACTTGCAGTGAACTTAAATGTGAAAGCTGAGTGGGAATTCCTCCAGAAAATGCATTTGATCTCAGGCTAAGGATTCTAAGATTTGTAAAACCATCTCCAAACAATGACAGAATATTACCGGATAACCAGTTGTTTCCAAGGTCCAGGGTCTCTAAACTTGACAAATTCATGAAAGAAGTGGGGACCTCTCCTGAAAAGATATTGCCATTTAGGTGGAATGAGCGAAGCAGTTTCAACTGACCCAAAGAACTTGGAATCACCCCAGACAAGCTATTGTTTCCGAGGTCTAAAGCCTTTAGGAAAGAACAATTCCCTATGCTTGAAGGAATACTTCCTGTTAAGTTATTCCCAGAAAGATCAATGACTTCGAGGGAGAGCATTTCTCCTATGGTGGATGGTATTTGTCCGGTTAGTTGGTTAATGGAAATAGATAGAAAGATCAACTCTGGCATGGATTTACTAATATTTTGAGGGATTGGACCAGAGAATTGATTGTTGGAGAGATCTAGTAACTCAATCTGGACAATAGGAAGAGGAAGTGGTCCTTCAAAGAGGTTGGAGCTGAAATCAATATCAGAAAAGGAAGCAACATTTAAAGGATTTGGAAGCTGACCAACCAACTGATTGAGGGAAACATTTAACAACGACAGATTAGAAGAGATATCCCAAAACCAGATTGGTATAGAACCAGAAATGGTAGCATTTGAGATATCAAGGAAACTGAGCTCCTTTTGTGATTCAAGCCAAGCTGGAAATGAAGGACCTAATTGACATGAACCCATGTCAAGATTGCGTACTTGGAATGGAGGAACCCAATTGGAACTGACATTCAAAATGAAGGAATTTGAGGAGAAGAGTAAAATCTTGAGCTTACTTAGCTTTGAAAAATGCACTTCTGAGATGGTACCTTTCAAATGATTGGAAGAAACATCCAAGGCTGACAATTCTGAAAGCTGCCCAAAACTCTCTGGGAGAGTCCCAGTGAATTCATTCCCTCCGAGTTCCATATTGGTTAAATTTTGCAATGTCCCTAGAGAAGCAGGGATGGGACCTCCAATCAAGTTGTTGTCCAGTCCAAGATCTACAAGATTTTGAAGCTGACTCAACCATTCTGGCAATTTCCCAACTAGTCTATTGTTGCTCAATCTCAAATACAGAAGACTAGGAAATGGATTCTTAGAAACACAGTTCTCAGTGCCTTCAAGTAATTCAGGTAAACTTCCTGTCAAATTGTTACCAGTTATCAGCTTGCAAAGTTTACCAATGGAGCTGGGGATTCCACCTTCTACATTATTAGAAAACAGATCAAAGTCTGTGAGAAATGTCATGTTCCCAATGGCGGAAGGAAGTTTCCCATGCAATTTATTTGAAGCAAAATTGAGAACCTCTATTTTTCTCCAGCTTCCGTTGAACAGATCAAAGCAGCTGGCATTGAGGTTACTGTTGCCTGCAAGGTTTAAGTACCGTATACTTTGAAGCTCACTGAGACCAAGTGGAATCCTTCCATGTAGGGCACTATTACTAATATCGACATGTACAAGACTCGAAAGATTTGCAAGCCAATCAGGGAACTTCGAGTTGAAGCTGTTATAGCTAAGATCTACAACTTCAAGAGCAGTGAAATTAATAGAACTAGGAGATGAAATGGAACCAGACAGGCTGGATTGTGAAAGATGCAACTCAGCTAAAAATGGGAGTGCGTTTAGTACCTCCACCCAGCTTGAACCCACCAAAGATAGGTCAACTTGGTTTATCTCAAGATGTTTTAGTGAAACAAGGCCAGTCATCCATTGAAGATTATCAATGCTTAGACTGTTGAATTCAGAAGAAACATCAAGATATTTCAAGCTAGAGAGGTTCCCCAAATTGGGAGGAATAATGCCGCTAAACCCAGCTTTTGACAGGTTTAGATATTGCAAATTCTTCAAAGAACCTAAGAATTCAGGAATTGGAATGTCCTGAAATGTGTTGAAACTCAAGTCTAAATATATCAAGGACTCAAGTTTAAGCAGTGAAGGTCTAATCTCTCCAGTCAAGTTCCAAAATCCATACCTGGTAGCAGAATCAAAACTTGGTGGAAACGGATTGTGAAGATCGATTACAGTGACAGCTCCGGCTCTATTATCACACCTTATCCCCCACCACTGACAACAGTTGCTTCCATGCCATGTTGAGAGCCGGTTCTCGGGATCTCTCAGGCCATTCTTGAATTCAATAAGAGCTTCACGATTTGATTCTAAACAATCTGTGAGGTTGGTATTGTTGGGAAACGTGCTAGTTTTAAAAACTTTTCGAGGGATTTAAATTCATAGATCTTGATTCATCACATAGAGACAAGTTTTATGCAAAAATAAAACATGATGTATCATTCAATTAAAAGATTGAATACTTACATCAAGGTTTGAGTAAACCTTAGATCTCTCATCTAAAGTGAATGTTCTCACTTATTGTAGATCCCTTTTGCTAGACACCTTTTTCATGGATCTCCATCTTCTTGGTAATTGTTTTGCCTTTAGGAATCACTCATAAGCCTCCATGAATGACCTTGGAAAATTAGGCTTGTGGGAGCCTCCATTAGATGAGAACATAAACCCTAATTTTCTAGAGAGAGAAAATTTATTCCTTTTTCCTTCTCATAAAAATCACACCTTAAAATATACACAGACCATGTATATTTATAGGCAACATAAAAATAAAGAAAAGGAAACAACAAATCCTTCTCCATCTCTAATTCATATGTCTCAAATCTAATATGATTCCAATATCAAGTTGGGCTATGAGTGAGAATCCATTGGGCCTATTATTTTATTGGCTACAATGAATTAATAATTGGCCCGGTCCATGGACCCAATTTAATTAATTCATAAATTAATTTCTACTCCACTAAAAGAAATTAATTGAACTCCAATTAAATAATAAATAACCTCTAAGTCAATATTGCACTTTGACCCCTCTATGCATAATTAGTTATCGGATAAATATAGCCATCAATCCGACTACTTAATTAATATATTTATTTTGGTAACTTTGATTATTTCTGGCTCGATCACAATAAAACATTTGTTTGACAAAAATAATAATTTAAATAAATAAATATATAATAAATCATTTTGTCTAAAAACACACGAAGGCCTTCGAATTTACTTTGTGATCAACCATAATCAATACAAAATAAATACAAGTAGCAATGATGCAAATATTGAAAATATAACCCTCTAACTATTAATTACATAACTACCCAAAGTGTCGGTCTAAGGATCCCGAAGAATCCGCCGAACAAATCAAAGTAATTATTAATTAATAAAAGAGTTTATACTTTTCTCATGCTTAAGAGTCAAATGCCATGACGGTGATAGGGAGTAATTGCATACGACGGCTCTCGCAATATATCTCAACCTAACGCGGATCCAGTTCAAGTCTTAATTAATTATGAGTCCATCCATAATTACCGACTATGAACAATTTATAATTACTATTTATAGATCATGCATTGATTGTCATCACATACATATATATAAATATTTCTTGTAATTAACTGGACACTATCAATTTCATAGTGAATTGAAACATAATACATTGAATTCACCAATTATATAAATCATAAATATTTCAGATATGTCAGGAACATATGTTAATACAATCCAGATAGGAATTTGCTATGCCAGGGCATATAAATCCCAACAGGTATTACCATTACAAGCAAATTCTGCTGTTATGATACTGATTGTAGCAAATATCAGATATAGATCTGAAAATCTCTCCATCAGTTCAACTCTCAAGCAGTGAACAAACTATAGACAATGAAGTGCAAATTTTCGGTATATAACATCAATTTTCTTGGTCAGCAAGGAAATTTCATCGTTTTCAGAAGGGTCGAAGAAAGAAGACACAAAGATAAGATCAGAAGAAGAGAAATTACTGAAGAAGTCAAAGAAATGTGCATTTTTTAGATGAGTTGTTATCATTATTGTTAAGAATCATCTGTTATTGACATTATTATATTGTCATTGACGCAATTTCAGCTGTTAGCTGATTATAAAAAATGAATGATGGTCAACAAAAGAATTTGATTTCACATTAGACAACAGGTGTATCTAGGGAAGTTCAGTCAACATTTAAGCTATCCTCCGGCCTTTGGGGGTGCAAAGCAGCGGGTGTACTCATCACCATCGTCGATTTAGGGTCTTCTTTAATGTCCCTTGAATTGATTCCCAAGCCTTTTTATATAGCATTTCAATGTTAAAATTTGGACATATAGTGATGTCCAATAGCATTTTTTTCCCCCCCTTTTTAGTTGAAGTATAAGTATGATAATCAATTTAATTATTGCCATCCTAATTCTCACCAACCCTGTATCTCATGAATAAGTAGATGAAAGTGTCTGACCAGTTCTTTCCTGTGTTCTATGTTACATGGACTCGGTTACGTGTGTCGGACGTGGTTATGTATCCGTGTGTCCGGCGTCAAATCTTCAAACAGAAGGACACGCGGAGACGGCTAAATATTCATTTTCTTAATTATTTTGTTTTATTTTTTAAAGTAAAGTAATGTTTTTATCTAATAAAATGTTCAATATATGCATATAACTCATTTTAAAGTAATAATATAATATAATTGAATGATTGGGTATGCTTTTTAAGTATATGTCTAAGTAAAAGTGTCGAACATATATTTCATACCCATGTTCGAGCAATATGTGTCTGACACGGGTACTTTGCTACTTTTGAAAAGTCCATGTAACATTGCTTGTGTTTGGGAATGAATTCATTTTAATGGTAATTCTATGTACCAATTTGTTACTGATTTTAAAGCAGAATCATGGAAGCCTTTTAAGCATAATAAGCTTTCATCGACAATTAATTATTTTGTTACTGATTTTAAAGCAGAATCATATAATTTGTTGTATGTAATTCACATGAGGATATTTGTTTCAATGAATTCAAAGGCCATGCTTTTTATGTCATTTTAGACCATATTAGGAATGTTGGTTTGTGATTTTGCTTAAGGGGCTTGAAAGATGACCTTCATAGTGTTAAACGGGTGTTAAAGGGATATTTGATCTAAAATGTTATTTTCGAAATTAATGGGCTTTAAAGTCTGTATTATAAAACATAAATAAAGGTAATTAAGGTGGTGTTTGGCAGATTTAGAGGGGCCGTTTGGGGCTTTGTTTGAGGACCTTAAATGCTTAATTTAGAGTTGCAATAAGGGTGTTTAAGGGTGCGTTTGGACACCAAATTTACTTTCCTTTTCCTTCCTTCTCTGATCATCTTCAGGATTCGGGGCATGACACTTTGAATTCCTAGGGTTGGTTTCTGCAGCATATAGCTGTTGTCTCTGCGCTTCTTCTCCTCCTTTTGTTCACCATAAATGATCTCCTACACAAATTAGGTTATGACATTCTAGCAAAAACACTAAACATTTGACTTTTCGTCGCGCACATCCCCAACAGTCCCTACATTGTCTGAATCTCCTTAACCTTGTAATATCAAACCATCCAGCAAATGTGGTCTTGATGAAATCCCCCAATCTGACAAAACAAACTAATCTACCTCAAAGAAAAAGCTAACAATATTACCATCTGTTGGTGTTGCAATCACAAAAGTTGAAGGGGCATTAGTTATTTCTCTTATTCTTAAATTGATTTAAGTTGAATGATGATTTTTTTTTTTTCCTTCGTCTTTGCCAATAATTCAGAATCTTCAGGATGAAGTGAAAGAAAGGAGGAGATTCTCTAATGAGGAAAAAGATGCAATGGCTTTGAAAGAGTTGAAAGAGGAGCTGTGCGAGGTGAAAATCTTATCTACGTACCATTCTGCATTATTTGTGTGGGGTAAAAATTTAATCAAGTAGCTCAATTTAAATTATCAAAGCTGCATTTATGGACAGCTTTTGAAATTATGAATCTCATACGCTATCCACTGAATTGTCTAGGAATAGATACTCTTAAATAGATAGCAGGAAGTATCACAGAAAACGTGATTTTACTTTTACTTTTGCTTTTTCAGAATTGAAAGTAGAAAGTAGGAAATAATTCCTGTTACTAAACAGGCCCAAAATGTTTGGGAAGGGTGAACAGTTACGTCCTTTCTGCAGGCAAAAACCACTTGAAATCAAATAATCTTTAACAACTTTCAAACCCTGCCAAGTAAATTAGAAAAGAACCTAATCACCAATATAAGACAACAACAGACATGCAGTAAAGTTTTCTGAGAAAACAAAAGGCCAAGTATGTGATACATGTAACAGAACTAAAAAGAAAACCTACCATTTGCGTATTGCTCTTCTGGTTTTCATGCACGGTAATATGTACACTACTTTGTCAACGAAACTGAAGTACGCATCACACCAAGGTTTTCTTGTTGCTATGACCAAGTAAGGAACCAGAAGTCCAACAGCAAATCCCAAGCCAACACTCAAGTAAAACCACTTGTCAAAGAAGTCATCGCCATTGTCATTCTCAGAAGCCATTGGTTGAAATGAATCCTCACCTTGGCATTTTACAAGAAGGGGAGGTCCACAAAGACCAGGATTTCCAGCATAAGCAGACTCACTAAAGGTCGTCAACTGACCTGCATAAGGTATCCTTCCTGAGAAGTTATTATTGAATAGATTCAAATAACCCAAAAATGTTAATGATGGCATGCTTGGAGGAATTTCACCCGAGAGCTTATTACTTGACAGATCAAGAGATGATAACTGACGCAAACTTGAAATGTTTTCGGCAATTGGGCCACTGATTTGGTTACTTGACAAGTTCAAGGCCAGAAGACCTGACAATTTTGTTATATCCACAGGAAAGTCCCCATTTAAATTGTTTCCGGACAGGTCTATGGAGATCGCTAGGGACAATGTCTTGGTGTATTTTTGAGATCCCCCTTTTATATTCACGATCTAGCTTTCTCCATAGTAGTGGCCTATGTTAAATCCATGTAATAGATACTGTTTTACTTTATGCTCTTGTGCCATAGCTTTCAGGTCACCCAAGCTGGACGGAATGCTACCAGTCAAGTTGTTTTGAGAAAGGTCAAGGACTTGCAATGAACTTGAGTATGATAGCTCGGTGGGAATTCCTCCGGACAACTTATTCGATCTCAGAACAAGGATTCTAAAATTTGTAAACCTTTTTCCAAACAATGACAGAATATTACCGGATAACCAGTTGTTTCTGAGATCCAGGTTCTCTAAACTTGATAAATTCATGAAAGAAGAGGGGACTTCTCCTGAAAGCATGTTGTCACTTTGAAGCAATGACTGAAGATATTTCAACTGACCCAAAGAACTTGGAATCACCCCAGACAAACTGTTGTTTTCGAGGTCTAAAACCAGTAGGAAAGAATAATTCCCTATGCTTGAAGGAATACTTCCTGATAAGTTATTTCCAGAAGGATCAATGACAGTAAGGCTGATCATTTGTCCTATGGTGGAAGGTATTTGTCCGGTTATTTGGTTACTGGAAATAGAGAGAGAGGTCAACATTGGCATGGATTCACTAATATTCTGAGGGATTGGACCGGAAAATTGATTGTTGGAGAGATGCAGAAACCCAATCTGGACAATAGGAAGTGGAATTGGTCCTTGAAAGAGGTTGGAGCTGAAATCAATAAAGGAAAATTCAGCTACATTTAAAGGATTTGGAAGCTGACCGCATAACTGATTGATGGAAACATTTTACTCCAACATATTAGAAGAGAGATTCCAAAACCAGGCTGGTATGGAACCTGAAATGCTAGCATTTGAGAAATCAAGGAAGATGAGCTGCTTCTGAGATTCAAGCCAAGGCGGAAATGAAGGACCCACGTGATATGAATGCATGTCAAGATCGAGAAGTTGGAATGGAGGAACCCAGTTGGAACTGACATTCAAAACGAATGAGTTTGAAGATAAAAATAAGCTCTTCAGCTTGCTTAGCTTTGAAAAATGCACTTCTGAGATGGTACCTTGCAAATGCTGATTAGAAGAAACATCCAAGTAATACAATTCTGAAAGCTGCCCAAAACTCTGCGGGAGAGTTCCAGTAAATTCATTCCCTCCAAGTCCTATATAGGTTAAATTTTGCAGTGTCCCTAGAGAAGTAGGGATGAGACCTCCAAGCAAGTTATTGCTCAGTCCAAGTTCCACAAGATTTTCAAGCTGACCCAACCATTCTGGCAAATTACCAATTAGCCTATTGTTACTCAATCTCAAGTAGAAAAGACTAGGCAGAGGACTCTTGGAAACACAGTTTCCAGTCCCTTCGAGTAATTCAGGTAAACTTGCTGTCAAGTTATTCTCGGATAAATCAATATTTTTCAAATTGCAGAGGCTACCAATGGAGCATGGGATTCCACCCTCTATATTATTATAAGACAGATCAAAGTCAGTGAGAAGTGTCATGTTCCCAATGGAGGAAGGAAGTTTCCCATGTAAATTATTTGAAGCAAAATTGAGAACCTCTATTTTTCTCCAACTTCCCCTGAACACTTTAAAGCAGATGGCACTAAGATTCTCGTTGCCTGCAAGGTTTAAGTAACGTAAGCTTGGAAGCCCACTGAGACCAAGCGGAATCCTTCGATGCAAGGCACTATAACTCATATCGACATATCCAAGACTGCTAAGGTTTGCAAGCCAATCCGGGAACTTCGAGTTGAAGCTGTTAAAACTAAGATCTATAACTTCAAGTGAAGTGAAATTAATATAACTAAGAGATGAAATTGAACCAGACAGGCCGCTTTGTGAAAGATGCAATTCAGTTAAAAATGGGAATTTGTTTAGTACCTCTACC